TGAATAAATAAAATAAAATAAATTTCTTTAAAAATCGTTTCCTTCTATCAGTTCTTTTGTCTTCTTGTAGAGCAATAAAGTGCAGGGGACCAGCAGTTAGCGTAATGGCTATGTCGCTGGACTCCCACGTAGTCGACTGCGGTTCGCGTCCCGGACCCGGTGGCTTAAATTCACGCCAGGCGCGTGTGCATGCATACCCAAGATCCCAAGAGGAGAATGGAGGAGAAGGGATTGCAGTGTGGCCATGCCCCCTGGGGGGTGATTTCTCGCTTTCTATCTCTCTGTCTCTCTCTGTCTGTCTGGCGAGCGCACGCGCCCTATAGCAAAAACCTCTCCAAAAAAAAATAGGGAAAAAAAAGTGCATATGTAACTGTATTTAACTGTGCCTGCGACTCCCCTGTAGTTGACCGCAGTTCGAGTCCCAGACCCGGTGGCTTAAACTCACTCCAGGCACATGTGTGTGCATGCCCAAGATCCCGAGAGAAGAATTGAGAAAAATGGAGGAGGAGGGAGGAGAAGAGATTGTGGTGTGGCCATTGCCCCTGGGGAGTGATTTCTCGCTTTCTGTCTCTGTCTGTCTTTCTGATGAGCACAAGCACCCTATAGCAAAAACAAAAAACAAAACAAAAACCTCTCCAAACAAAAAACAAAAAACAAAACAAATAATTCTGACAATGGGTGTGGAATCATGGCTACCACTTTCAGGATATGTTATGTGTGAGTTCACCCATAGCCTTTCCTTTCCTTTTGCTTGCTAGCTGGAATTAAGTTACCATGGCTGGAACTGGAGCAGCCACCATGAATCATGAGGTAGAAACTTTGGACCAGAGAATGATGGCACTAGGAGATGCAGGCTCTGATGATCAGGGAGCAGCTGCTTCAACCCTGGCTGACTCTGGCCTTGCTTTGTGTGGGAGAGCCCTTGGTCATGCCGTGGTCATTTGGGGTGAGGTTAAGTGTCACATAGAAGGTGCCTGTTGAATTGATTCCAGGGCAGGGGAGAGAACAGATCACTGGGTGGGGGCAGAGTCAAGCGCGGGTAAAACGTAGTCTCTACTGAGTCTCTACAAAGCAGGAGACACAGGGACAGCCATGGGCACACCTTGTCACACGTAATACAGGGGGTATAAAGTGTGTGTGTGGGGGGGAGCGGCTGAGACTGCGAAGGGTGGGCAGGGGAGCTGCCAGAAAAGCAGACCCCAGTCTCAACCCGTGGGCCTTCCGGAAAGTTCCCAGATGGCCCGGAACCCCTAGACCTCCTGGACCCATTTGTCGTCTCTCCTCGCCCCCCACCCCGCCTGGCTTCAGGACGGAGCGCGGGAACGAGGGCAGCACTCGGGTGGGTGTTCCTTGGGCTCTGGGACACACTTCCCAGGAGTGGGCTGACGAGCCGGGCCGGGGAGTCCCGCAGCCTCCCAGGTCCCAGTTTCCTCTGGGATACCGGGTAGGCGGGCGTGGGCGGTTCGGTGCCGGCGGCGGGGACCTGGGAGGAGGCGGGCCGAGCACCCCCGTGCTGAGGCCGGC